TACACTGGCTCATCCCACCCAGCAGAATGTGCTCAAGGCCCCGTTTTTGTCTCGAATGGCAAGGCCTCCTTTTCATGGCTGCATGATATTCCACAGCCTGCGCTACACTGGCTCATCCCATCCAGCAGAATACGCTCAAGGCCCAGCCTTCATCAAAAATGGCAGGGCCTCCTTTTCGTGGCTGCGTGATATTCCACAGTGCGCTCTACACTCTGACTCATCCCACACAGCAGAATGAGCTCAAGGCCCACAGGGCCACATGAGCTGCTCCTGCGAGGAGGCTGTCATCTGGAGGAGGGAGCCTGAGGCGCTGGTGAGGGGTTGGAGGAACGGAGCCCTGAGCGTGGCCATTGGGTATGAAAGTGGATGCAGCTGCCATGGAAATCAGGATGGCGGTGCCTTCGAAAGTTAAAAACACAAGCTCCTCCTGTCATTCTGCTTTTGGGCTTGTGTCTGAAGGAAATAAATTATCTTTAAACAGTCACCCACACCCCTATCTCCATAAAGGTCGGACTCAGAATGAGTGTGACAGGGCTGAGCGTTTGCTGGTGGGCAAATGGCTGACAAAGTTGTGGCTCACGCCGTGGAATACAATGCAGCCACGAAAAGGGAGGTTCTGCCGTTCATGACGAAGGCTGGACCCTGAGCACACTCTGCTGGGTGGGAGAAGTCAAAGCGTGGCGCATGCTGTGGAATATCATGCAGCCACGAAAAGGAGGCCACCCACAGCCGCCCGCCCCTGCTCTCCGAGTGTGTGCCGCTGGGTGAAGGCGCGTCTCAGTCCGCGGCCACTTGGGTGTAAGTGGGGCTGGGCCGCATCGCCCAGTCTGCCCCTCACCGCCCCGTGCCCACCCCAAGCACACCTGGCCAGTGTGGCCGGCCCTCACCCTGTGTTCTGCACGCTGCCTGCAAGGGTCTGCGCCCTCCTCTGGCTCTGGCCGGCCTAGGCCAGTCCATCTCCCCGGGTGCGTGCTCTGACCCCCCCCATCAGACCCCACATGCTGCTCCCTGGACCCAGCTGGCAGCAGGAGTGGACAGGCAGGTGGGGGAGGGGCGCAGAGGAAGAGGCGGTGACTCTGCAGGACAGGGGCCGAGCCTCTGCTGGCCCCCTGGAGACACCGTGGGCACCCCACGATGCAGGCTCTGGGCAAGCGATGTCCACCCAGGACACAAGGCCAGGCCGTCCCCGGAAGCTCACCTTAAAGTCCAGCATGATGTCCTGAAGCTGGAATTGCTGGTCCAGGTCCAGCTGCAGAGACACGGGGCTCACACCTGGGGACAGAGTGGGGTGTGAGACGGACGTGCCGGCCCCACGCCGTGCAGCCCCAGCTCAGGCTCGGGGAAGCGGGGACCCCCGTCGGGTGTCTGGCTGCCCCAGGGCACGGCTGGGTGCATCCACTGACCCACCTGCTCCAGACCCGGCCTGTGCTCCGCAGGTCCTGCCCACATCATCTGGTGCCCCTGGAGCTTGGGGGGTTTCCACTGCCTGTCCCCCAAGCTACGCCCTGTGATCAGTGAAGCGAAGCACCCCCTCGCCTCCTGGCCCCCAGAAAACTCACCCCGACATGGGAAGGCCCTAGCCAGCCTCGCCCAGCCTCGCCTGCCTTCCAGCGCCCCCGCGCCCAGCGGGACCCCGGGGGGCTCACCGTTCTGGGACTGCCACCAGCGCGCTGGGCCCGAGGCGGCAGCCAGGTTCTCCACCCGGTGGCTGTTGTAGCTGTGAGGCAGGCGGGAGTCGCACTTGCAGCATTTCATCTGCCACTGCGGGGGACGGTGCTCAGACGGGTGCCCCCCCAGGCCGGCCTCCCCCAGAGCCCCTGAGCGTGCGCCCGC